ACAGTCACAGAAGAAATGCTGGAATTAATTTTAAAGTCATACAAAATCAATGAAGGCATTATTGAAGATTTTAACTCTTTAAATCATAACAGCAATCATCATTCAAAAATCCTTTGGAAGCACGAATTTAATTGTTTCTTATATGCAGTTTTGAATTTTGAAACCTTTGTAAATATTCCATTTTAATTGTGGTTCATACACATGTTGAACATTTATCATTTTTAGTTTCCTCTCCTGTCTCACTGATTGTAAATACAGACAATTGCCAGAATTGCTATTATATTGTCTTTGAATTGGATTATGTATAAAATGAAACCTTTGGTTGTTCAATATTAAAGGAATTAAAACTGGTGTTTCTACTTAACGTCTACCATCATGTTATATATGAGAGACAATTTCTCTTTATCTTTGTTTGGTCATTTGGAGTACATACATATAAACTCTAAGTAAAAGGAAGAAAAATGAGATGATATTGCTTATGCTGTGTCCCCTCTATTATCATATTCATAGTTTGTGTTTTCCAGGATCTAAATCGGTGGCCTCCAACCTTTTTGGGCACCAGGGACTGGTTCTGTGGAGAGAGGTTTTTCCACAGACCAAAGGGGGCATGGTTTCATGTGTTACTTGCATGCTGTGGATGTGGCTTTTCTTATTTGTGCGGACTGGACTGGTTTCTGGCATGCCGCGGACCAGTGCCAGTCCAGAGACTAGGGGTTGGGGACTCCTGATCTAAATTATACAAACAGGCACTTTGCAACAGTCACCTTTCTTCTTTAAAGAGTAACAAGAACGAAGAGTGAAGCAAGTGTTCTTATTTCTATTTTAATTCATTGCATCTGTGCTTGAGAGCAACTGTAGAGAACTCAAAATATGGGTTCTTGTGTAACAATTTGACATAATACAGCCACAAGAAAGGAAGCATCGGTTTTACAGAAAGGTTTCAAAAAGTATCAAAAAAAAGTTGTGAAAGAGAAAAATAAGGAAATCCCTAGTGATTGTGAATGCTTAGTGTGATGGAGCAATTCAGTATATCAAATATATTAGAAAAGGTATAGTGGCTAACTGGAATTCTAAACTGGAATATTGCACTCTATAATATTTTGCTGTTCTACCCACATATTATTTAACTTGAAATTGACATCTTGAAATAGGATAAGAGAGAATGGTTAGCTAGTTTGAATGATTGTAATTAGTTAAGTATCAAGTAACCTAAATTTCTGTCATCATAATCTCAGTCAAATTGCTGGAAAAAATATAAAAACTATCCTGTTTCCCCCAAAATAAGACATCCCCTGATAATAACCCTAATCAGGCTTTTGAGTGCATGACAATGAGGCCAAGCGCTTATTTCAGAGTTCAAAAAAATAAAAGACGGGGTCTTATTTTTGAGGAAACACGGTAGTTATTAAAAACATTCAATTTTTTTATAAGGATATCCAAAGACAGGTTTTTCTATTGTGACATGTAGACTTTAAAAATCAATAGTTAGGAGGTTCATCAAGGCTATATATATAATGGCATAAACTTGTAAAGCAGGATGTACTTCATCAGACACATGGGGGGGGAGGGGAATGGGGGAAATTTTCAGAAACTGAAAATACAGATAGTTTTTACTTAGCAACCGTCCTGAACAGCAACTATTTGCAATTGCAACAGTACTGAAGTAACTATATGACTGATGCCTGCATTTATAACTTCTGCAATATCTCTGTTATGTTTGCAATTACAATCGGTTAATACATGTCTTATTTAAAATCAAGCTCTCCTGCAGTCACGTAATTTTTCACTAAGTGATCATTTTAATGACCATGTTTGCCAGTCCCAATTACAGTAAGTAAACGAGGACTACCAGTACTACCAGTTCCCAAATTAAATAGCCTTAATCCCAAATGGAAATAGAGCAGGATAGATCAGTTGTCATAGCAAGACAGACATCTCTAACAGATATACCTGATTCAAAATCCTCTGCAAAAGTACTATTATGTAATTTGGGAGCTCTGGTGCCCTGCCAATGATGTCACTGTGGCAACAATGAGAACACATGGGAAAGAAGTAAAAAAAAAACCTAGCTGAATTTGATGCAGTTGCAGAGGCGGACTCTGCCACTAAATTAAAGCAGCAGAAAACGTTGGCCACCACATTTTTAAAAAAATAATATATCTTTGATAGTTTCTTGGGCCTTTTTATTTATGTTCTTTATCTGTTAAAATATTAAAAGGTAATGGGATTGAATGAGCAAGAAAAATAAATTTTGAGAAAATTTTGAAATTTTAAGATTTAAAACACAATGATTGTTTAACCTGGCACAGAAATTGTGTATCTTAACAGTCTCTTACAGTTGATGTTTTCTAATCACATGAAAGAATGAGCAATTATTCCCATAACTGGGTTTTGACTTTATAATTTTTCTGGGAAACGGTGCCATGTTAGTTTAAGGAATTTCTCCTACATAGCTCTTTTAGAAAGAGGTTATAACTGCATGATTCTTAAAATATTTCATATAATCTAAGGTTTTTTAAAGCAACTTCATTGTTTTTCAATATTTTTATCTGACAAATACCAAACATGCAGTTTAGATTGCTTATTTTTAAATGGAATGTCTGTTTTGCTGATACAAAAGACTACAAAACAAATGATTGTAGAGGTATCAAAAGATAAAGAATAACTAGGGAAAATAAAAAGTTAGACATTAAAAATCATATAAACATTTTGATCCCATTTGATAGGTAATAACTGATTTAAGCCCTACCTTGTAATTGCTTGGAATAGTCAAAGAACATCCTCATTTATAACTTGTCACTTAGCTGGTACAGTATATTACACAATAATACATGGGATTAGGCCTTATACCCACATCACATTCACATACAAATCACATGTAATATGATCATACACAAATATACATTACAAAATGTTATACACAACAATTGCAGCAAAATGTCTTATTGAATATGGTCAGCTGCTACTCTGCAAATGCGCTATAATAATCAACATTTTTCAGTCTGGAAAAATATGTAAATGCAGCTAAAATATTTGATCTTCGTAATTCATTATATATTGCTGGGATACAATATTTTTGAATTGAAATGTTCAGAGTAATGGATGAAAAAACACTATTAGTTGCTTGGAAAAGTTACTGAACAAGCTTACCAACATAAAGACATCAAAATTTTCTGAACTTTTCTAAAGGAAGGGTAGGACATAGATATTATCTGACACAATCTAGTATACATAGTCCATCAGGCAAATATTGTTTATTCTGACCAGTGCCTGCTCTCTAGGTTTGTGGCACAAAAATTATCCATTATCTACTACCTGAGTGTTTCATTAAGCTAATTTCAAAGATTAAAGCATATCCAAGTTTTATGTGGCTTTCCTTTGAAAGGGTAATACTTTTGAATTAAGTAATACCAGGGATTAAGATTACTGTAGAGTTAATCCTGATTATGACACAAAGACAGAAATAAACTGCAGCTCTGGCAGCAAAATATGGAATAAGAGGCAGAAAAGAATCTAAAATTATGCTGAAGATCTCATGAAATGGGTTGCGTAAGATTGGAAGGGAGAGACAGGAATAGCAAGTCTTACCTGGGGCCAATGGATAAACAAAACTGACTTTAGCACTACAACTTCATTTTCTGAAGACATGGGTGCTATGAATGTGTTGCTCTCATTTTTTTCTGACAGTGACTATTTAATAAATCTTATCTATGTGTGTTTTAATGGAATCTTTATGCACAGTACTAAAATCTTCAAGGTCTATATACAGTTTGTATAGGTAGGTATTCAGATCAATTCAGAACTGAGAATTGCATGTCAAAGACACTTCTGGCCTTCACTCCCTTTAAAACCAGCACAGTCCTCCTGTACAGACTTTATCAATATTTACTTTGTAAGATTATTGCTGCTAAATCTGCACACAGAAAGCCCACCCACTGAGGTAGCCATTAAATTTTAACCAAAATTTTTGCTTAATAGTGTAGCTCCTCAAGTTGGAAAGCAAAGGCTATGACCTCTTTAGGAAAAATAAACCCCAATAAAACTCTATATTATTAATGATTGAAATGAATCTTGCATTTTGGCTTATGGGTGGTACAACCAGAAGATAACCTTTTCACCCTCAATTTGTTATGGACAATTGTTGTACCTCCAAAGTGTGTGTGTGTGTGTGTATGTGTGTGTGTTTGGTTTATTGTTTTTTATTTTGCCTGCATGAGGGAGTTACACATGGGAGAGGAAATTCCCCTCCTCTGGTTTCAATTCCACTAACAGATTATTTTTTCCTTTGTGTAAACAAAAGCATACATTTGGGCTTCATCTTTGATTGTCACCCAGATGTTTTTGTTCAGAAGGAAACCCATTCTATTTGGTGGGAATTATTTTTTAGTAAATAGAAATGTAGCACTGTACACTGTAAATGTATAGTTATCTACTCAGACATCAACTCTGCTGAATTCAGTCAGACTTGTTCTCACTTTATATAAGATTGCAAGATTAATATGTATTTATTTGTTTGAGATTGTATTTATATTTCAGACTTCACAGGAAATAGAGTAAGTTTATACAAAATCCCCCATAATTTCTTATTATTGCAGATAGACCAAAAAAATCAACCAGTCATACAACAATAAGCATACATAAATAACCTAGGCATAAGTTGCTTTTCAGCAGATCTATGCACACAGTAGCCTATACATTCAACATGTTGACTTAATTTATAATGTATGCTTGGGCCAAATTTTCAAACAAATCTCATGTGATTTTGCCTGCATATATAATAAATTTTAAAATGAATAGAACGGTCAGGTCCACATTCCATTAACTCATAGAAGTGAGTATCAATTACTAGTGCTATAAAGCATGTCTCTTGACTAAATTCCATCAGAGAGCCAGCTGGCATGTGATTCAATGATACTGAGTGTTTATAACCAAGCTGCATCAAGCAGAATAATTTAACCAACAAGAACAGTTTCAAATCATATGTATCATAGAATACACACCTGTAATAAGTAGAGTGGAACAGCCTGCAAGTTTTCCGATGTAGTTCAAAAGTTGTCCAGTAGACTCTAAATTTTTGCCTGGAATTTAAGGATTAAGAAAACTCCAGTGGGCTTAGGCTATGGCAGTCATAACATATTTGCAGCACACAAAATGCATCTTTGTTAAATTGCACTGACTTCCTGTTGTCCTCCAAGCCAATTCCAAGCAATTGTTTTAATATTAAAATCCTTTATAACTTCTCCGTTATACTACCAAGGGAGTTTTGTTTGCCTTCTACAAGGTTAGCTGAAAGGGAGCTAGAAATAACTGGAGGTAGGGCCTTTTCAGTGGCAGGAAGGGGCCACTGTGCAATTCAATCCTGTGGGGGATACAATCATCAGCTTTATTTACTGAGGAATTTAAAACCTGGGAAGAACTTAATGTGTATGAAGACTAACAACAGTAAAAGAACTGGCAGGCAACTGTGACTTCACATTTTTGTGTATATAATGATAATAAAGTCTGGATAGTGGACATTTCTATTCTACTGTTTCCAGCTATTGCAGAGAAAAAATTGAATAAAATCACAAAATACAAAGACCTGCAAATAAAAGTAGAACGACTGTGGCAAAAGAAATCAAAGCTAGTACCAATAGTAATAGGTACCTTGGGTGAAATCCCAAAAAAACTGGAGCACCACTAGAACAGGGGTGAAATGCTCCCGGTTTGGATCGGATCGCCCAATCTGGTAGCGATGGCGGCGGGCGGTTCAGAGAACAGGTAGCAAAAATCCCTGCTCCCCCCCACATGCCCAGCTGAGCCGCGCGATCATCAGAGGCTTTTAAAAAAAATTTTAAAAGCTTTTTTTCTACCTCTTTGGCCGAAAAAATGCTTTTAAAAGTAAAAAAAAAAGCCGCTGACAATTGCGCGGCTCAGCTGGGATCGTCAGAGGCTTTTAAAAGCATTTTTTTAACAACCTCTAGGGTTGTAGAAAAAATGCTTTTAAAAGGCTCTGACGATCCCAGCTGAGTTGCCTGATCGTCAGAGGCTTTTAAAAGCATTTTTTAACAACCTCTTCGGCCGAAGAGGTTGTAGAAAAAATGGTTTTAAAAGTTAAAAAAAAAGAATTGGCCACACCCACTCAGTCACATTAACCCCCCAAGCCATGCCCACAGAACTGGTAGTAACAAATTTTACATTTCACCACTGCACTAGAACACCATCAGCATTGACAAAACCATTATCAGTCAATTGAAAAAGGGAGCTTTACTTGAAATAGCTTACATCCTGTGACAAACTCATTATATTGTTGCTAGCCACCCTGAGTCCTGTGGAGATAGGGCGGCATATAAGTCCAATTAAATAAATAAATAAATATTATTAAGCAACATCATCTGCCTATCCCAGGTCTTTGGAAGGACTCAATAGGTGGATCAAAATGCCAAACCCACTCTAAACATCAGGCTGACTGGGTGACCAACTATAATAATTTATTAAACTGGTATGCTACCCAACACTCAATTGCGCAGCACTCTGGATGGATCACAACAATTAAAAATATATACTAAATTAATAAAAAATTAAAATTAAAAAATGGCAAGTGGAATGAAATGAGGGGTCTCACACTCCTTTATCAAAAACTTGAGGGGAGATCCAAGTTTTCATGGCTCTTCTGAACAAACGGCAGAACAGAGTAGGGTCTATTCTGGTTCCAGAGAGCAGGCACTGCTACAGAGAAGTTCCATATAATGTGACACAATAAAAAGGATAGCACATTTACAATAGCATAAGCTTTTGTGGACTAGAATCTGCTTCACTGGATGCATCGACAGATACTGAAGGTTATACTTCGTGTTATACTGATGAAGCAGAGACCAGTCCAGGATGGGTTGTAGCATCGTCTAAGGATTTATCTTTAAAATAACGCTCATCATTTTGCTGTTTTTGCTGTTGAATGGCCAAATATGATTAGCCTTTTGGAAAAGAAGGAAAGAATTAACTCTAAACCTGGAATTCCTGTAATGCTGGATCATTCCAACCTAATCATGCAATACTTTGCCAGTATGAATATAGTACAGGACAATTATGGACAATTTGATTTCCCTGGCTTTGCTTCCATCCCTTCCCAACAAGCTGGTGGATATAGATCTGCTAATTACTCTCCCTGTTGTGGGATGGGTGAGGATGAGGTGAATTTTGATAGCTGGATAGAATGGCCAGTTTAGCCCTTAATCAACTCACTAGAGTTTGGTGTCTATTTCTCGCAGGTCATTAGGTAGCTCATCCACCTTCCACAGCTGCCCCCATTGGCTATTTCTTGCTCCTTGTCTCTGGCCCTAATGGGTTCAGGAGGAAAGATCAATCTGAAAGAGTGAGACTCTTCTGCTGCCTAATTTAGAATGGCATGGAAAAAAGTCTCCAGAGGCAGCAGGAAAGTCACATGACTACACCAATCTAAGGTGGCCACAGGCAGTAGTGGGTTTCAATTTAGTTTGCTACCAGTTCGCTTGTGCGAGCCTCCCGCCGCCGCCACTACCAGTTCGCCCAAACCGGGACAAACCAGTAGCAACCCACCACTGGCCACAGGTAGTCGTCAACATATGATGGTAATTGAGCCCATAATTACAGTCATAAGTCATGCAGATCGTTTAGTGGGTTGTCATGTGACCATGCCTGATTTTACAAACTTTTTAATGGTAGCCGTTCAGCAAATGCCACAGTAATTAAATTTGTATGCCGCCCTGAGTCTTCGGAGAGGGGCAGCATACAAATTTAATTAATAAATAATAATAAATTGAATTAATAAATTGGCAATCCATAGTTTGCTATGGATGTTGTTTGTCGGAAAGCAGAAGTAATCACAGCCATGCATCTGCAGGATGCAGCAAACGGTTGTAAATGCAGCCTAGTTGCTGACTACTCAAAATATGGTCATGTGACCACAGGGGTTGGTGGAGGCTGTCAGAACTTGCAATATGGGTCATAAGTACCTTTTCTGTCATAACTTCATAAATCGAAGACCACCTGTACTATGTCTCAAGTTAATCCCATCCTTTATGGTCACCTGACTCTGCCACCAATCAAATGGTCAGTGAAGTGGGTCAGAATACACTCACAATCAAACTGCCATGGCTTGTTTCCTGCTTAAAGAAGAAAATGTTAATTTAGTACTAGAACAGCTAAGGATAACTTTAAGCAGTCTCAAGTAATGGTTATTATTCAACCAGCTATTGAAATCCATTGGGTGATTTTAGGCTTATCTCTCTCTCTCTCAGCCCAACCAACTGATCAGGTTGTGATCAGCTGCAGAAAAATTACAGAAGGCGTACAATGCACAATGCCTAAAGCTTCTGATGGAAAGTCAGAATATAAAACTAACAATAAATCAACAATAATCAAAGTCCCTAAATCAAGCATATTTCTCCAAAGACTTTAAAAAACTACAAAGAGAGATTCCACTATTGCCTACTGTAGAGCAACTACAGGAAAATATCTAGAATAGGGCCGTTTCATGCTATGTTATATTAATACCATATAATATTCTCCTGAGAATTTTGGAAGGATCACAGCTTTTAAGTATGTTGTTTTACCTTCTCTGGTTAGGAAACTAGAGTTATTCAATATACAATGTTGCTGATTAGCTTTGGTTAAGAATGTTTAGGAGCAGGAACAAACAGTGTTATCAACCCAACAAAGGCTAAGATAATTAATGCACAAAGGTCACATTGCAATATACCTCTAATGTTCACTTGTTTGCTTATCCACAGGCTGGTTTTGAAATTAGGTACCGGTATTATTCTCATCCTGTATTCTTGTATTTAATTGTTTGTATTTCTTTTTATGCAAAGAACTTTCATTATTGAGGCGGTATGTAAATATTGAAGATAAATAATAAAGTGTATTTATTTATTTATTAAATTTATATGCTGCTCATCTCCCTGATAAGGCAACTCTGGGTGGCTTGCATATCATAAAAACATAAGTAGAAAAAGTTAATATTTTAAAACTATGCAAATTTAAAAAAAAATTAAACTATGCATAAAACCAGAAGCAAAGGAGACAGATGGTACAGGGATGAGGTCTTCTTACTCTGTCAACCACCTACAGAGCTAAGCACCCCTTTTGGGGCCTCAAGCAGTGGTGGTCTTCAAATTTTTTAACAACCAGTTCTCTGCCCTAATGACTTGCTGGGTGGGCGTGGCTGGGTGGATGTTGCCAACTCAATGTTGCTTTTTTGCCTAAGAGATAGCCTATCTCTTTTGCTCCCTCTGGACTAATGAGTTAAAGAGGCTGCCTCTAGACATTCATTTTAGTAAGAATTTTAAAAACCTGCAGTTGAAAATTCTTCATGTCGCCTTACCCTGAAGCCCCAATTTCATTTGGAATTTAATCCCAAACTGATTGCCCTTTTAGCATTTCTCTTGATACTTATCCAAAATGCACCTCTTAAGAAGCCACCTCTCTCTCTCTCTCTCTCTCTCTCTCTCTCTCTCTCTCTCTCTCACACACACACACACACACACACACACACACACACACCAGAGGTGGTATTCAGCAGGTTCTGACCAATTCTGGAGAACTAGTAGCGGAAATTTTGAATAGTTCAGAGAACTGGAGAACCGGTAAATACCACCTCTGACTGGCCCCGCCCCCATCTATTCTCTGTCCCAGCTGATCGGGAGGAAATGGGGATTTTGGAGTGGGGTGGAAATGGAGATTTTACAGTATCCTTCCCCTGCCATGCCCACCAAACCATACCATGCCCACCAAGCCACGCCCACAGAACCGGTAGTAAAAATTTTTGAATCCCACCACTGACACACACACACACACACGCACACACACACACACACACACACACACACACTCAATTTAAGCAAATTCCCTTGTTTTGGAGACTTTAGAATCACAGGCTAGAAGGTACCTTGGAGGTCTTATAGTTCAACCTTCTGCTCAAGGCAGAAGACCTCATACATATGCAAATTTGCAGACATCCAAGCTTTGGCTGCAAAAATTACAGACAGCCTTTGCTGCCACACACTTCCTTCTCCCACCATCGCAAGCGGGAGGCCCGAGAGAAAATGCCTGGTCTGGGCACACAGCCCTCCACGATGGAGCCCTTCCCAGGGAGCAAAGCAAGAACTTACTGATCCGACCCGAGGGCGAGCTCCAGAGTGGTGGCAGCGGCACTCCGGGTGGGCAGCCCACAGGGGAGCAATTTTCTCTGGGTCCTCCCACCCATCAAGATGTTGCTTGATCTCACAGCCGCTTCTTGTGGCCCTTGTTGATGCTGGGCATGCCTTCGGCGCTCAGGGCGATGCTCCACATGCTTTCCGGGTCGGCAGCTGTTTCTCTCCGATGCTGCTCTGGCTGGGAGAGCGTCTTGTGCAGCACAGCAAAATTTAGCAGCCATGAGCTGTTGCTTTCCTCTAAGTTCCATCCAGAAAGCTCTGCGGCAGAGAGAAGCAACCAGATTGAATGCTGTTTCTCTCTGCCACAGCCCTGCAACGCTTTCCGGATGGGATTTACAGGACCCAAAGTGACGGCTCATGGCTGCTAAATTTCGCTGTGCTGCACAAGACGCCTTCCAGCAAGAGCAGCAGTGGACAGAAACAGCTGCCGACCCAGAGAACACATAGAGTATCTCTGCAAGCGACCGAGGCTTGCCCAACACCAACGGCTGGAAGAAGCGGCTGCAAGATCTGAGAGACGCCGGAGATTCAACATGGCTGCTTCTCTCCACTGCTCCACTGCTTTCCGGATGGGATTTCTTACAGATAAGAAACTTAGGCAAACCGCTTCGGCACCCTGCACCTACACCGCCTCTCCTGCACCTGCACTGCCCCCCCCATGGCCCTTCAGCTGATCAGAGCAGGCCAAAGGCCCGATAAATTGCTTCAGCCGGGGGGAGGGAAGTAGTTTAAATCCAGAGGGTGGCATGCAGGTGGCATGCGGGTGGAGGCCCCAGGGAAAGCCAGAGCTAGGGACTGGTGCATCCCCTGACCCAAGGCAAAAGGTGAGTGGGCAGGGCGGAGGCCCCAGGAAAGGCCAGAGCCAGGGACTGGCGCATCCCCTGGGCCCTGACCTGAGCCAAAGGGCGAGCGGGCGGCATGCAGGAGGATGTCAAGAGCCAGGCCTGAAAAGTTGCCAAGCTCGACGTATCCACCCCGAGGCGCCCTTTGGCAGAGCGTCTTACCTTCGTGGGCAGCCATGGTGAGCAGAGCGGGCAAGGCACAGAGATCAGGTGAGCCACATGGCCGGTGTGATAGACCACAACTAAGGCAGGCAAGCGGACAAGGCATGGAAATCAGCTGGGCCGTGTGGCCGACGTGGTAGGCTGCGGCGAAGGCAGGCAAGTGGGCGAGGAGCGGAGATCAGCTGGGCCACATGATCTGGGCGAGCGAGCCAGAGTAGCTGGGCGCAGGCGTGACTCTAGCCACCGGCCAAGGAGGGTGAGGTGAGATAGGGTGGGGTGGGGTGGAACGGGGTGGGGTGGGGTGGAGCAGGGTGGATGGGGCCAGCTAGTGGTGGGATTTGCCAGTTTGCCGAAATGCGTAGAATCATAACAACCAGTTCGCCCAAACCAGTCCAAACCAGCAGCAGCCCACCTCTAGCCTCAAGCCAACTGGTAAAACGTTTTAATGTCCTTTCAGAAGGCCAAAAGCCTTGGTATAGTTCTCATATCCAATGATGCAGTGTTTCACAGGGTCAGGGCCACAGCAAAAAAGGCTCTTCTCCTTGATCCCAAGTATCAGAATTCCTTGGCCAACAAGTCCATAGCAAGCCTCTTCTGCTGGTGTGAATGCAGTGGCTAGTACCATTGAGTGAGATGGCTCCTCAGATACCCTGGCCCCTTGCCATATCAGGCTTTAAAGGTAATAACCAACCCCTTGAATTGGACCCAGAAGCAAGCTGGTAACTAATGCAGCCTGTGCAACAGGAGTGTTACATACCACCCTAGGGTATGCTACTGCATTCTGCACCTGATGTAGTTTCCAAAAACTCTCCAAGGGTAGCCCCATGTAGAGCGTGTTGCATTAATTGAACCAAGAGATGACTAGAGCATGAGTGGCTATGCACACTAGGGCAGAATTGCCACACAACTTGAACATGTTGGTCCTAAATAAGTCATTGTCCAGTGATGGATTTTGAATGTTGAGCATTTCCCCTTAGTCCTCTAGCTCAGAAGGAAAACCCTGGATTTTATACACGAGAACCCTTGTCTCATGTGAGAACAGACTAATCTGGACAAAGTTTTGAAATCTAATTCAACACTCTATCCTCACATCCTCTCAGGTTATAAATAACATTTGTTCATTCTTTTTATAAGTTTACTTAGAATTTTGCCCCGCTATTTTTCTCCTTCTTCCCCACTGACCTATTGAATACAATATACCAACTGTATTTTTGGTTCTTATAGTGTAATCTATCTTTATCTCATTAGTGCATCTTGTGTATTGTGCTTCTGTTACAGGTAGTCAATTTATGGTCTTCCGTGTGTTAGCAATTTCAAATGCTGACATTTCTGGAGAAATATGACTAGTAGCAAGAGACACTGGGAGTTGTCATTCAATCTACACACATCTCCTTAACTTTTCTATCAGTTATTAAAGGATACTTCCACATGATCCAGACTTTTTTTAAACTCAGTTTTCTTTCTGACATGATGTGAAAGCAGTATTTTCTATGTTTTTTCTGCCACCATAAATCTATTTATGCTTAGAGAGGATCTGGACTCTGGTTCTCTCCAGGAACATTACCCTCTAGTTAACACCAAATAGATAGAAAAAGATACAGGGTTCTCTCCAAGCTCCTAGATCATGTGTGATGGAGTAGTTGGTGGAAATTTCTTCCAGCAGCTGAGAAATCCACCAATTTCTTGTCCTGCAGTAAACTGTAAGAACAGTAGCACCGCAATCCAGCCAGGGGGAGGAACTGGGGTTTTAAACTAATGGAGGCAGTGTCAGACCATCTCATGCAAGGTCCACCTCTATTGTTTGTGCATGCCACATTCAGTACCTCTCTCCAAACTTATTACTGGAGCAGACTATTTTGACATACTTTGTGCTGCTTCCTGGTTGTCCAAGAGCCTTCAATGGTTATCTTGGAAAAGCCCCAGTGAGATCAATCCAAATATATTGCAAGAATGACTATTTAATGATATTTATACTTCTATCAAGAATCTCTGGTAAAAAGCAGGTCATATGCTTAGGAAATAAAATATTGTGTATCGTAAATTGTACTTACAATGTTGCAGCACCTATTTAGATGGCAGCATTAGTCCTACACAAATCATATTTTTTGAAAGACTTATAAAAACTTCCCACTCTTATAATCAAAACATTGTACAATTACGATTGTAATGGTTATATTAATAGTATCTAAAATGTACTTTCCCCTTTCCAGCAGTATTGACCCCTTCACTGTGTAAGTTCTTTTGTATTTCCTTTTGTCACAACATATTTAGATAATCAGCTAGGATTGCAGCAAAAAATGTCACTTTCAGATTTTATTGATCATATAAATTTGTTATCACAGAACCGGAAGGGCCTCCGGGTTTATTTAATCAAACCCTTTGCTGATATTGGAAATTTAGTAGATTATTCTACGTAGAAGGTTATCTGATCTTTCAAAAAAAAAATTAGATGGTAATAATTTCTGAAAAACCATAAATGAATGGTTCTTCAGATAAGGTGCATAAAACCAATGAACAGCAAAATGACATATGCAGGCAAATGAGACAAGGCAGGTAACAGTGATTTAACAAAAGAACACATTCCTCTGTAAATCAATAAAACAATTAAACAAAATATCAGTATAATGTCATCTTTCTTTTAACTCAGAAGAATGGAAGAATGCTAGAAACAAGAAATGAAAAAAGTTCTTCATACCTTTCCCTTTTATCTGTTCCAGTATCTTCAACTGGTATTCTGTTTTTATTGCTCCTCATGTAGCTTTTCCCCCCTTTGGTGCCAGTTTGGAGAAGGCTTGGACAAGTCCCTGCAGTTTTCTTGGCAATGTTTTTTGAAGCCATTTGCCACTGCCTCCTAAGATCCAAGATCACTCAATTGGCTTTTTGCCTAAGATAGGAATAGAGCTTAGTCTCTTAGTTTCTAGCCTGGGCCCTTAACTAGTACATCAAAACTACTTTCCAGTTTATTATTACATTTGTAATTTTAAAAGTTTGTAATCTCAGCACTTGTATGCTTATTTTTTGACTAGCTCCCTTGGAAAATACAGTAGCTTTCAATGAACTATTAAGCACAATTCAAGCAAGGCTGGGTTTGGATTTGATCAGCATACAAAAGGTGTTTGGGTAATTTGTATTTTAGTGTATTGCACATACCAAGCAATTGAGTTCATTCAGTAAATCATGGTTTAATTAGCCTGGAGGGTTATGTAAATACATCTTAAATACAATTCTTATTAAGGCTTTGTTAAGGTAACAAAACCAATTGAAATCACGTCTTAATCACAGGAAACAGAGTTCAGAATCTGGCTCAGATTTTGACAAATGCTACCATGCAGTTAGAAAAAAACCCCCTAATTTTTAGTTTTTTTGATTTATACAGTATATGGTTGGTTGATTTTGGACAACATGCGGTGACCATGTATGTTGATTATGGTTAATTTAATAAGCTATAGGTAATTAAACAGTGGCTTAGTAAGGGGTGAACACAGCTACTTAAGCAGAAAGTTAAATATATAAACATGCATGTGCCAAATTTTAGATATACATTGATCTTTATTGTGAATGGGTGAAAGGTTGTAAACACTTCAGAGATGAATGCAGAAATCAGTGATTTTCACAATAGCCATTCTCAACATACATGTTGACAATTAGATATTTGTCTTTAGTATTTATTTGATTTTAAATAAACATACATTAGAATTTCTGATATATTGTTCACGAATAGACTTTTAAAATCAGCCAGTTTATCTTCAGAGACAAAAGTAAAAATGTGTTGGTTTCTGTATATTATTTCTTAGATTTGTGTCCACTGAATCTGTTTTATGTAGAAAAAAAAGTTTTATATTTGGAGTTAATTTGAAGACAAACTAGTGAATTAACCGCTGAGCTGTCGATACTACTGTGTCCAGCCAGCCCTCATAAGGCCAAGCCAAACATGGGGCCGGGTTTGTTGCAAACTTTGGTCTGGGTTTTTCTTTCTTTCAAGTAGTTAGTTATTTTAGCTGGAGCGGCTGTAGAGAAAGCGCAGTAGCGATTGGCTCAATGGCACCGTAGCAGGAAACAAATGGTGCAGGAGAAAACGACAGAAGAAAGCCCTACATTGCAGTTCAGTCAAAACCCATCTGGGACCAACGCTGAGACCGCAATTTTGTACATGCTGCTTTCTCTCAGCGCGACGACAACCTCACGCCCTCTTATGACAACATGGTCTTTCTTTTCCCGGCAAGTCTTAAAAGTCCACCATTGCCCCCTGAGGCCGCTTTCGGCTCCATTTGGTTTTTCTTTTTCTTTTTGGCTGGGAAGTCTGACCGCGGGCGCTGCCTGTTCAGGCAGGCGAAAGTCGTCTAGTGAGGCTTTTCTCCTCGCAGTCTCGAGTTTCCGTTTCCAGCAGGGACGAAACCCTTTAAACAACCCAGCGCGAGCAACGCTCCCCTGCGGTTAACCGTTTGGAGGATACATTTATCACAGCGATCCAAATTCTAAACATAAAACCGCAGAAAAACCGTTCTGGCTGCTGTTAGCCGTTCCAGTGGGAGGGAGAAAAATAAAAAGTACAAGAAAGTGATTAATTAATGCCAATGCTACGTTTCAACCGACGGGCGCCCGTGACTGCAGCCTCGAGGAATCTGCCTAGAAAGCTGAGGGAAAAGGGTCTACACACCCTCATTTGTTTCATCGCAAAGGGAATAAGAGACGTTCGCGTTGCACTTCGGTCAAGCCGGTCTACCATCCGAAGTTTTGCGCCTCAATTCTTTCGAAACGTATCGACTCAATTTAGACGGTGGGGTTAGTTGGAGCTTAAACAAGCGCTGATTCAGCTTCCCGGACTATAAAACTGGTCGCCTCAGGCAGCAAAGGGCATCCAAAAGGAAAGAGGCCTTAAAACAATTGAGAGATTGATGACACATATAATGACTAAAACGCGCAGTTTCGGGCCACTCTAGATGCTGGGATTTCCATCTGAGTCAGCCCCCGACCGCTCAAAGGACCCACTTGAAACCCTCCTTTATCTTTCTCCCCCCCCCACCTCCCAGCGCGCTTCCCCCAAGATCAAATACTAAACTTCCAGCCACGTTTACGCCTTTCAAACACTTTCCCCCTTTCTCTCAGACGACAAACTCCCCCCACCCTCTCCACCCACACGTTCAGTCCAACCCACCAATAAACCAACCCCTCCTTCTTTCACCCCCCGAATTCGCGCCAAATGATCGCTGATGTCATCAGGTTGGGCCCCGCCTCTCGCCACTGGTGTTTTCAAACGGAGGGGGCGTGTGTGATTGGCCGGTGTGACCGGCACGTGACTAACGGTCGCGGGAAAGCCGCGGAGTCTGAACGGGCGATTCTGTGGGTCGGGTGGAGGTTTTTGAGACAAGCTGGGAACCTCGTCGGGTGACTGTGTGAACGCACGCCGGACGAGAGTCTGACCGCAGGGGGGCAGGATTTGGCCTGTCAAAGGCGCCTGTCTGAACGGAAGCCTCGGCAGGGAGAGAAGAGCGTGTACGATCTCAGCCACCATGAGTTTCCTGAGCCGGCAGCAGCCGCCGCTGGCCACGGGGGCGCGGCGCCTGACGGTCCGGAGGGCTGCGGCCCCTATCCGACAGAAACTGCTTTTCCCGGGCGGTGGAAGCGACTGCGAGGAGGAGGAAGAGGAGGAAGAAGGCGGCTATGAGGAGGAGGAAGAGGAGGGAGGCGGCAGCAGCGGCAACAGCACCGGGGAAGACTCGGCCTTCCAAGAAGCCGACTCGCCTCTTTCGGGCAACCGCACCCCGGCTCGGTTGGAGCCTCAGCCACCGCGCAACCCCGAGGAGGTTGGGAGAGAACTGGCTTCGGCTGCGCTCCCGGGAGAGGAAGGGGACTCGTGGGAAGAGGAAGGCTTCGGCTCTTCGTCCCCGGTGAAATCCCCCGGAGCTTATTTCATGGCTGGCTCGCCTCCGCTGAAGGGTCCTCGCCGTTTTTACGATCAGTCGTCATCGCCGCCACCGCGAGCGGATACAATCCGGTACCGGGAACACCCGGAACCCGGTTCTCCTTTGCCCGAGTACCCCGGGACACCGCCGCACAAGACCTTTCGCAAATTGCGCCTCTTCGATACTCCGCATACGCCGAAGGTGAGAGAGGAGGCTTAGCTGGGCAAGGGGCCCTTGGAGGAAGACAATGGTGAGGTGGGCGGAACGCGCGGCCCGTGGGCCGAGAAGGAGCGCTTCTTCCTTCTGCCGCCGGTGGAGGGCTGGGAGGAAAAGGGCCCTTTGGCCACTTCGGCGGGCCTGCTTGCTGGATGCTATTCTTTTTGGGGTGGAGGGGGGAAACTAACCGAAAGTCGGCACCCTGTTTGGTTTGGTTTCGTCCGAGCACGTGGGTGACGTGTGAACCTCAGGCGAGTTTAGGTGGTCGATCCTCTTTGCCAGGCGAGTCGATCGTTTGGTTTCCTCCCTGACCATGACCTCTTGGCCTTTTGTGTGGTCAGAATAAAGTCGGTATTGTCTGCTTTGGAAAAAAAAAAAAGAATTGTTTTTCAGAAAAGACGGCAAGAGGCGCTCTTGGATTAACTGCCACGCCCCCTTTTTGTCTTTGTCAGTTTTTCTGCGCAGGACATTTCAGAGGGATTATCCATTTGGTGCCAGACAGGTTTAAGAGTGTTTCACTGAGGGTGCTTTCTGCTCTGTTAAAGGTCGCAAATGTTAACGCAGAGGGAAAGAAGATGACCAATGCCCAACCCCTGTGGGCAAGGCAAAAGACAATTTTCAAGAAATAAGATGAATTTGAGATGGAGTTTTAACCTTCAGTCTATTTAGCTGGGTCTTCCTCCTGTGTGTAATGATAAGGGTCATGTTTCACACGTACTTGAATGTCCTACGTGCCACTTTACCTGTGGTTGATATTTTGCTGCAGGTAGCATTTTAAGAGGCAGACAAGCTCCACTAAAGACAGTGGATTTGTCATCAGGAGGACCTTTTAAATTCTGGCAACCCTTCATTTCTCAATAAATCAATACCAAGAATAAGAGTATTTTTTTTTCCAGTGCCAAACCCTTGTATCATAATAGTTATGTAACAGATTTGCTTGCCTGTTACAAAAAACTTGGCATTTTGGAAAGGCCTGCCCACAGATTGTCAGTTAAGATTATGTAACTAAACTAAAATTTGTAACAAAATAATCCCCCCCCCCATTGTGAAGTATGTGGTAAATCCACTACAATTGGCTTACAAAAGTACTCAACCTTTATGATCCTAATGCTGACCTTCTGGTTTGCTTAGTGATTTTGGAATGTTTACTTTCCTGAAAGAAATCAGTTCAAGGATCACTCAGTATATATTAGGAAATCACCCTTTTTAAAAGAGAGAAATAATGGAGAAAGTTTTGTGGTGATTTTTCTAAGCAAAGCATCTGCTTTAAAAAGTTTATGTGAATTTTACATTATAAAGAAATCTGAGAGATGTAAGTGAGTTGTTTTTGAGACCATAATTGTCTGCTTGTTCTGAGAGTGATGTATTAGTTTTTCTTGCTTTTTATTAAGATAATGGTCACTGTAGAATCAATATTTTTACAACTGAAGTTAATTTTCTGTTTATATTTTATGTATCAAGCCCTCTAAATTAACAATAAAGCATATTATGAGGCTGTCATTCATACTATAAAATTAATGTTTTGCTGTCAATACTGTATGTTAAAATAATGCATATCTTGAAAATGGAAGCCTATTTATTAGATATTTATCCCCCCCTTTATTACTTTAGAAGTAACTCAAAGCGGTGAATATATGTAATACCCTTTCTTCCTCCTATTTTCCCCAGAACAACCCTGTGAGGGAGGTTGGATTGATAGTCACCCTGCTGGCTTTCATGCCTATTAAGATAATCTTAATATTCCAAATGAATTGTCAGGAAATATAACTATGATTTTACTTATAGTAAGACATGGTTTAACCGAATTCTAGATTGGATTACTGAGGTAGATTCAGGAACCTATGAAGAATCTGGGGAAGCTTTAGATGTATAGAAAAATTGTATGTGTTTTGCGAAGATTCCATTGGAAAGCATACTCAGCTTTTGTTGTGAGTTTGTGAATATGTATAAATGGTTGGCATTTAGTGTATCAGTCATTTATACTATTCTATCCTAGATATTTCAAGGCCTAAAACAAGGGGACTGCAATCATTTTCAATGGGATGTTGTGATACATATCTTCTATATGGCCTCTTTGGTGGCTGTCATTGGAGTAGTAGAACTGAAATATGGAGGTTTGAGTATTTTGAGGCATCAAATGTTTGTCCTAAGCTTTGCAGAGGCTGTAAACATCTATGTCTGTGATGGTGAACCTATGGCATGCGTGCCACAGCTGGCACGCATAGCCCTCTCTGCGGGCACGCGAGCTCAGCTCCACCGTGCATGTGCACACACGCCTCCTGCCGGCCAGCTGATTTTCAGGATACACGGTCGCATGCGCATTGTGGGGGAGCATGGGGTGTGTGGTGCCCCTCACCACAGGAGGCTGCAGGGAGGCCTACTAGGCCCAACAGGGGGAGGGGGGGGGGTTGTGCACACATGCGCGGGAGGGGTGGTAGAGTGTGTGTGGGGGTCACGTGTGCATGAGTGGGGGAGAGGGAGTGTGGAGCAGGGTTGTGCTCGCATGCGCAGGGAGCACATTGCATTAGGGTGCTGGCACACTTGTGTGCTATTGCACCTGCACGCTTTTGGCACACGAGAAAAAGGTTAGCCATCACTGATCTATGTTTATCCCTTAACTTCAATTATACTAGGTATAAAGGACAATGTCAGTTTTCTGGGGAAAAAATTACTTGTACCCAGTTTGGGAAATCACAAATGCTGTTGGGAGATCAAAGTTTGCCTGCCTCAGCCATAACAATGCCAAGGAGATAATTCATGATGTTCTAACAGTAGACAGGGCTGGGCTGCATATGATATTGCAATTTTCTGTAGAGTTTAACTAGCTGCTAATAATCATAAAATGACTCTAAAAGTAAAAACTATACAGTAATCTGACAATATAAAGCTCAAATTATGTATTAGAACAAATGACTCGTTTGGTCTTGCTGCAATTATAAGTCACAAATTAGGTACAGTATTTTTGAACCACTGCCAAAAAGGGATCAGAGCTTAATGCTAAAAAGTTTTGTATTCAGAATGTATTAAATATCACATGGCTGCTATGATTAGAAAGACTGGGTGATTGGTAGTGAAAAATACCTCATTTGCTCCAAACAACGTACAGCCATTGATACTTCATAGAACTACTTGGCCAGAGAAACTAATGAACTGACTTAGATTTGTATAGCTTCATATACTTATAATGACCTTATTTTCTGGTAGGTGGAAATCCTTACAGATAGTCCCTCAATTTATGATCACATTTGGGACTAGAATGTCCGCTGCTGAGTGATGTGATCAACACATGACTGCACCCAATTTTATGAACTTTTTTGCCACAGTTATTAAGTGAATCCAATTTTCCCCCATTGATTTTGCTTATGGGAAGCACATAGCGTAATCCTAGGATGTTGCAACCATCATAAATACATGCTGATTGCCAAGTGTCCAGGGACATTAGATGGTCGTAAGCGCAAGAACTGGTTGCAAGTCACTTTTGTCAGCATCATTATAACTTTGAAAGGTCACTAAATGAATGGTTATAAGTCAAGGACTACCTGTAGTGCATTTTGGCTGATCTCAAAAAGCTAAGTTTGTTAGCTCTGCTTATTACTTGGATGAAGACTCACTAGGATATTCTATAATTAATTGATTTCCTATATTGTTACTGTTAGAAATTCTTATTTGTTGCTTGCTGCATCGATCTTTCATATTTATCAAAGGATTCAAAGCTTCAGTAAGTAGAAGATACATAGAAGAAATATACATATAAAGGTGTGCATCCATTCTCAGCCATGAGTGGATTTGTATAGAATCAGAATATGTAATCTGATTAATAGGTTTTTTGAATTTACTTAAACTGATGGAGATCTGAGTTGTAACATTTTTTCTGCCAAATCTGTTACTTACAGAAAAAGTTCATGACGGTTAGAGTATGTAATTATTGCTGGAAATGTTAGATTCTTGCATTTCAGTTCTGATTTTCCATATGGATATCTTGAAAGTGAGGAGGGAAAATTTTCAGCTTTTCTTAATTTATAAGATTAGTTCTTGTATTCTTTCAGCTTTTCTAGGTTATTTGATTAAGATGAGTGGAATCTTCTTCCTGCGGTTCTGAAAAATCAATCACTTGGGACACTGAACTACCCCACTCAACAAGATCAATAGAGCCAGTTCAGTTCCCAGGAAGGATTTACTAAAAAAGCAGACAACAGAAAAACAGAATACCACTAGTTATCATCTATAGCTCAAGCTACTGAAACACATTATGAGTAAGCTACACCCTATACTGGACAATGAACAATGCACATTTTCTGGTACTGATAGGCCCATGCTTACATATGGACAATCACCAGATTCTCATGAACAACAAGAAATTACACAAAAAGCATGCAAGCATGAGTACACACCTTGCAATAAACCAGGTGTATACTTTGCTCCCATTTCCACATCAGCAACACCAACAAGTCCACACACAAGATGAGGGACATTTTCACTTGTTCTTCCTCCAATGTGGTATATGCTGTCATTTGCCTCTGGATTCCACATAGGACAAATAGGCAAGCTTGCATAAAATAATTAATAGGTACAAGTTTGATATCAGGACCCAAAACAAGAAAAAAAAAGTATATCAGAGCATTTTAAACCATCCAGGACACCATAGCAAACCTCAGTGCGACTGTTTTGGAAAAGCAGAACTTTAACAGCATCATTGAGTGAAAACTCATGTGCATCAAAAAGTTTTAGGCAATGTCAGAAGGTCTCATCAGAATACATATTAGAAGGTGTCATCAGACACAGTGCGTTTTTAACATATAATTAATAATTGATGTAGTACTTGTAATCTGTTCCCCACTTCCCTATCTTTCCCCAATTTAGTCTTACATTAGTCAGGCCATTTTATCCATTTGATGAAGTAAGCAGCAGCTATACATTTTACTAACATTTGCTAATTAAAAATATTATTAGCACTTTTTATCCTTCTAAAGTTTGCCAAAATTTGCTAGAAATTTTCAATTTTTGTTTCATTTTTGAAATAGATACTTTCATTGTGGCAATAATATCTTACACTTAACCATTAGCCATTAGGAATAGTGTTCCTTCCAATTCAGAAAGAACAAGAAGGTGAGAGTAACATTTGTAAAGGACATGAACTCCTGTAGCCAAGTATAGAAACTGACTGGCAAAATCTACCACATGTCCAGAGAGAAATTAAATGAGTTAGTGTGGAAGGCAGGCCTTCTCCACATGCCTTCTCAGCCAGCTTGCCCTTTTATGTCCTGATTTTTTTTAATAAGCCTGTGTTTTACATGGCAGGATTTTCTGGTTAAAAAAAATTAGGATTTTATTACTGTCTAG